TCATGATTGGTCAGCGCAACATGTCCCGAAACATCCGCCGTTAGCTGTTAGCACACAGAGCTCAAGAAACTGGACACAAGTTAACAAACAAACAAACTGCAGACTGTCTGTGTCATGGTGAATACAGCAGAGTCCTGCATCGGGTCGGGTATCCGCGGGTACCCGACGGGTGACCCGCAAAAAAGGTGATTTGCGGGTGGTATTTTTTCAAACGCTTTTTTCCGGGTTCGGTTCTGGGTAAAACAAAGATGATGCGGGTCGGGTTGCGGGTGTTGCATAATAAATATATTTAAATAATAATAATTTAGTTTAATGTTTAAATCCTCAGACCTCTCCCCCGCGGGGCCGAGCATATTCATAACCTCTGCAGCGCATCTATCTGCTGCTGAGCGCGCCACATTCTGAATGGCTGAGGTGAAGCTCTCTAGCGGAGAATACAGCATTTTCAATAACTCTTCCTCAAGAGCGAAATCCAACGTCTGGGAGGCTTTTGGTGTCATCCTAGATGCAGAAAATAACCAACATCCCAGGCTTTTTGAGCCAAATATGCAACTGCGTGTGTTAATAATTGCACGTTTTCACTGCTTATATATATGCGGGTTCGGGTCGGGTTGCGGATCTTGTGCCGGCGGGTCGGGTCGGGTTGCGGAACTAATTGGCAATATGTGCGGGTATCAGGGCGGGTTCAGTATTGTACGTCGCGGGTGCGGGGCGGGAGCGGGTCTTGAAAATCAGACCCGTGCAGGACTCTGCCACAGGGGGGTCCAAAGTCAGTGTTAGGGGGGCACTGGCCCCCCCCTAGAACCGCCCCTGCTTTCAAGTCTTATGGTGGAGTATGAGTATATACTATATGGTGCTTTAACGTTGCATATTCGCAAACAAGGTGGAAAGTACCACAAAAAACAACCAAATTAGTATTTTTAGAGAGGTTTGGACCCTCGGGGTTGCAGTCGCGTTGTCCAGCCTTATTGTGAAGTAGGGACACGTTTCTCCACTGTCTCCATTCCAATCACTAACACTTAGCTACAGACTAGAAGTAGTAAACCACGGAATGCATATTGAGATGTCAGACCTAATACATCAATGTGTCAGAGAGAAGGGAAACCAGGAACAAAATAAGTATCATGACAGATTTCAGTACTAACCATCCTCTGTAATCCCTGTGAACCAGTCCAGCAGTTTCTCCAGGCTGGTGTCATCGGGCAGAGAGCTCCCTGAGCCCGCCAGCACCGCACACACACCGGGCAGCAGCAACGCACACTCTCTGTCCATGGCACTAACGTGTGTGTGTGTGTTAACTAATGGTCATTCAGGATGCACTGAAACTTTACAGCTATATACTTACAATAAAGCATACATAGCTAACGTCGATTCACTTATATGTAAATACAGCTAGAAACAAAGTTATGTAGTGGAAGTGTAACAGCTAGCTTAACAAAATGTAGTTTTCGCTTGTAGTTCTGCTAAACGTCCATCTCGCGGGAAATAGTTTCGGATCTACCGGCGTCTCTCCTGCCTGAGTAAAATGCGAGCCGCACTTTTTGCTAATCTATAAACATGTGGATGGATACATTACATGCGCAGGCGCCACGTTCCACCCTTCCATGTGTTTTACAGATCAGTTTCCCCCCCGCAGCTCGTCTTTACCCTCCGAACCAGTTCCGTTTCCGTCACATCGTCCATTTTTCGCATAACCGCACATGGTGCCGCACCGGCCGAGGACCGTCAGCCTCTTTTTTTGTGGGATTTTGCTCCGTTAAGGACGAGAAATCAGTCTCGTAGTAAACCGATAAATGCAAGATACTGTCGATATGGTGGACGACCAGGAGTATGATGAGGAGGAGCCCTCATTCAGCGACCCAGAGGACTATGAGGAAGATATGGAAGATGAGGGTGAGCAGCGGCAGGATACGCGCCGGCTTTCCGGCCTGTTGCTAACTGTTAGCTTAGAGTCGTAGTAACGGTACTAGCTATATATGCTAATAAGATAGCTGGCATCTTACTTCGCTTTCCCGACCTTTAACCTTAATGTTAATTAAACAATGTGGTCCGATTACGAGGATTGAATCGTTTATGTGTTTCTTTAAAGTATTCCTAAAATAATCTAACGTTAATCGAGGTTATCTCAGATTAAATCCACGCCTATTGAAGCCTCACCCAGGCACTGGCCTTGGCATTTAGACAATTGAAACAGGGTTAAAGCAGTCTATTGTTAAACATTTTCTTTCTGCTGTCTGAATGTGTTATTAAGGCCAAGACATGTATTGCAATGTTGAAGTATGGTTTGAATGAAGCAGCTGGTGATAAAGTGCAGTTAATCATGACGCATATATGAGATATGAGCCCCTCAGGTCCACAAATGAAACATCAGCACAATTAATAACACCACACTCAGGTGTCAGCTTCTGAGGTAACATAGCTATATTGAATAACTTTTATTAAAACAGCCCTACACGAACATATGTGAAGTACATAATGTTCATTTAGTTTTCACACTCTTATGGAAAGGTTTTGGTAAACTTAATTTGAAATCTGTTTGTTTGTGGTGCTGTTGAATTGCATAGTGTTGACTTAATTAGTTTTTATTATTTTGTCGAACGCATTTATATCATGTGTGTAGATTATTATTAGACACACTCCTCTAATGCAATACCATTTTTAAAAGCAACATCAACTAAAGCCTCACACCATAAATAAGGATTCTTATCTCTCCAAAATATATGATTGCATTAGCTTGAGTTAGGTTTACTGAATACATTTGTTCTCTATATTTTTTAAGCCAAGAACCTCTTACAAGATAGAGAATTCACCAGGGACCCTCTGATGCATTTCCCTTGGAATTATTTGATCTAGCCCTTTTTCTACACTTCTATAGTCTATTGTTAAATAAACAACATTTTAGATGAAAAGTTATGTAAGAAAATATTATTATTTGAAATATGAAGCCCGTTGGAAAAGATGTCATCCTACTTTATGTTAATAATTGTGAAAACCCTTTACCGACAGTTAGCGCAATACATATCGTAATCTAATAAACTGTAGCCGGTGGTCTCATTGTCAATTAAATTTGGGGCATGAAAATATATGTGATAGCCCGGTCTAACACAGACTACTAAAGTAAGTGGCTAACGTTACTCTTTCCCTCCCTTTCCTTCCCTCATCTTCAGAGCTCATGGAGGACATCCTGAAGGAGAAGCCCCTTGAGGCTGATGGCATAGACTCGGTGGTGGTGGTGGACAACGTCCCACAGGTCGGTGCGGAGCGTTTGGAGAAACTCAAGAACGTCATTCACAAGATTTTCTCCAAGTTCGGCAAGATCGCCGCAGAGTTCTATCCAGAGGGTGATGGCTTAACCAAAGGGTAAGTGGTAGCTGTTACTGTGGTATCAGAGTATATATTTACTTTACTGTTGAATGTAGGATATTAAACAGTCCCATATCTCCCCCAGGTACATCTTCTTGGAGTATACCGGTCCTACCCAGGCCCTCGAAGCTGTAAAGAACGCAGATGGATACAAACTCGACAAACAGCATACATTCAGGGTTAACCTCTTTACTGACTTTGACAAGTAAGTGTGCTGTGTGTGATAAGAATTGCAGAAAATGTGACGGTGTGTATACATGTGTTAATTACATCTGTTTGCTTAATTCTCTAGATACATGAACATCAGTGATGAGTGGGAAACTCCTGAAAAGCAGCCTTTCAAAGACTTTGTGAGTATTTATATTATCACAAACACTTCTTCTACTCTAAAGTCAATTATTTTATAGGCTTTTTTTTGACAAATATGTTATACATTATTTTTAGTGAATATCAATAAAATAATTTCCCAAACTGTAATTCTTCTCAGGGTAATATGCGCCATTGGACTGAGGATCCAGACTGCCGGGACCAGTACAGTGTCATCTACGAAGCTGGAGAGAGGACTGCCATTTTCAATAACGATGCTAAGGAGCCAATCGTATCTGAAGAAAGAGCAGTACGTTTTAATCCCACTTCAAAATGCAGCATTCACGGTGAACCTATTCAATTCAATTCAAATCAACAGTAGTGCTTTGCTTGGAGACTTATGATGTTTTTGTGTCTCGATGCAGCGCTGGACAGAGACGTATGTGCGCTGGTCTCCCAAAGGAACGTACCTGGCCACCTTCCACCAACGTGGCATTGCATTGTGGGGCGGCGAGAAGTTCAAGCAGATCCAGAGGTTCAGCCATCAGGGCGTGTCCCTGATCGACTTCTCACCATGTGAGAGGTAATCAATATTGCTGTTTCGCACTACTTATTGAATCATTGTTAGCGGTAGTTATTACCTGATGAAGTGCTTTTACTGTGTGTCTATAAGCGTTAGCCTCAAGTGTGAGAGAGTGATGGAAACTGATAGGTATGCACCGAATGTTCGGCCACCGAAAACTATCGGCCGGAAATGGTTAAAAAGGCACCGAAAAAATATCACCGAATGTCAGAGAACAGGGTTGCGTTGATCATACTCTGCATATTTGTCCGGGTGTTTTGATTTCAAGTGGTGGAGTAATCCCGAAGTGGTGAAAGTCTTTGCAGTTACACCCCCTCGAGAAATGTCAGCTGAACACGTTATACAAATCGCAATCCGCGCCTCTCTCTCTGATATTTTGAAATATCTCCAAGTGGCAGACATGTTGGCTGTGAGCCAGCGGCGAGCATGGTCGCGCGCCGTGCTTGCCGCCGCGTTTTGATTACGTCATCACAACAACACGTTAGGTTACCAAACTTACAGGTGCATTTGTTGTTGTTGAAGGTCTGGCTGTTACAGTCTTTATTTAAACTATTTTGTTGTAGGCCTACTGGCCTAGATGTTTATGTATTTTTAAAGCACCTTGGCTTTGTTCTGAATGCACTTTGTTGTAGTTATCCTACAGAGAAAAGAAAATGCACTTGACTTGGAATTAATGTACTGTGTGCATTCAAAAGTGCTGAATAGATGTTTTATGGACCCATAATAGTGATTATTATTTAAGTTAAGTTTTGCCATAATCATGTCTTTTTCCATAATCAGGTAGCTGAACTGCCTTGGTACACAGTGTATACATTATATATATATTTCTATATATATATATTTCTATTAATCATTTTCGGCCTTTCGGCATTCGGTTTTCGGCCAACTGTTTCCTATTTTCGGTATCGGTTTCGGCCAAGAATTTCCCATTCGGTGCACCCCTAGAAAATGTATACTGTTAAAAACTATGCCAAAATCTCTCTTTACTTTCGTTGACGAAAAATTAGGAGACGAAATATTATCAAAGATAACGTTACATTTCTGATAGTCATTTTTCTCCCAGCAGTTCCATTTCCGGTGCTGCGGCAGGGCAGCAGC